ACAAATGAAGGAAACTAGAAGCTAGGGAGGTATGAAGCTAAGAAAAGAGAGTTTCAAAATGAGAGTGGCAAGCAGAGATGCTGCACAGATGAGGGCTGAGAAGTATCTGCTGGACTGAGGAAAAGCAAGGCCTTTGGTAGAGGACCTGAACATTCACTGGGGCAGTGGCAGATGAGCACAGGAGAGTCCTCAGTGAAAGAACAGTTGTGAAAGCCTGGGGAAGGATGGGGATGGTGGGTAGGGGTGGAGAGAAAGGGGCCCAAGATGGACCTTGTGAAATTCAGTTGTTTTACCGATTGAAGTTTAAACAGAGCTTACGAGTTTTGACCAAAAGTGTGTGTGGTAATGGCTTGAGAGGGTGATAATGAATATCCAGTCCTTCCTGAGGCTTGGTACCGACTCATCCCAGTTTTCCTGGGGCTGTCCAGGTTTTAGCATTGAAAGTCTCTCATCCTGGGAACCTCCATAGTTCTAGGCAAACCAACACTTCCAGGCTGCTCTCACTATTAAATATTCACTGTGGCTGCCAGCCTGGGTGATTAGATTATATTTATTCATTCGACAAACTTTTGCTGGCACTGGAAATATGATGGCCAGCTAAGCATACACAGTCCCCCATCCTTAGAGACCACCTAAAATTCCTTCTTTGCATTTAAGTGATATTAATCAAATTAGGTCTCTAAAAAAATCCGAAAAACCTTATTTTCCCTCATTGTAATGGTAGAAAATTTGAGAAGAAAAGCATAAAAAGGCAGAGAAAAAAACCATACTGGCAGATTTCCTTTCAGTATTTTTCCTATACATTTCCCAAGTCACTTTTGATCAGCATCCCAAACAATGCAAGTTAATTTTAATTTTGGCTGCAAACCAAGAACAAAAAGGTTAAGGGTATTGAATTAATTTTTCAAGTCAAAGTTAAAGGTTCTGAGGATGATCTGCTGTCTCCAAGGGTCCAATCCCTGTTTTTTCCCATCAGCAGGTGTGATCACAGGCCTGGCCCAGATGGGTAATGACTTTCTGTCTCTTCAGCAAGGCTTCCTGCTTTGCAATTTTTTTCCTTTTACAAATTAAAATGCTGCATTCACTTGATAACAAATCAAGTAGAACAGAGGAGATTCTGAAGAAAAACAACAGGGCTTCACTCCCTCTCATCCTGTTCCACCCACCCCACCCCCAGCACCTAGAGGCAACCCGGTTTAACGGTTTCTGTTTTTAGTTCTTCTGGAAGTTATTTCCAAAATACTAGTTAAAACACTCATACTTCTATTTCTTTACATATCAATTTTAGTGAATATTGACTTTCCCATATAAAACATGAGGCATTCACCCACACCCTCTCTTCCTCTCCTCTTCCCAATGATGACTATTTATATAAATATTTTTGTTTTTATATTATTTTGGTTATAGAAGTAAACCTCTATTGCTCTCTGTCCTTTTGTTGGTGTCTCTGGGGAGAGAGGCCCACTTGTAAAGCCTCTTTCTTTCTTCACATGCAACCTTTTCTCAGCCTCATATTTACAAAGATTTTAAGCATTCACAATCTCTCCTGCAACCACAACCAAGTATTCAGGATTTTCCTACAGACTGACTGACTGTAAAAGTCGAAACTCATTGAACGGTACTTACATTATGATGGCCATGTGAGTATTGGTCAAGCTCAGGCCAAACTATGAGCAGGAGTATACTTTCTCCTCCATGTGCTCAATCCACTATCCAGGAAAATGTTTCAAGCTTTAAGGCTATTAACTGATACTGTATCAATTAAATATGATCATGTCATATTATACTTTGCTTTTCATTTAAATTAAGAGTCTTTTATTCAGTTTTGGTATTTTCCCAGAGATTCGAATTGCTTTTCTTTCTTCTTATACTCTCTCAGATTGATTCAATTTCTTTGAAGACAAGATGTCTGACATTTTGCCTGAGAAAAAATGACTTCCGGTTGAGAAAAGGAAGTGAGGTCATCAACTGATGCGGCTGGCCAGTCTTGCAGGCCTTCGATCAATTCTATGTTTTCAGTCCTGCCTCTCCCACTTTCCTTTGCTGGCTGACCAAAGACATTGCCTGTCCTCAGCAGTCTAAATGATCAGGCTTGGCTCGTATACATCCCTCCATCTTTGCTCTCTTATTTCTTTTTGTATTCTCTACTTTTATTTCAATGAGATCTCAGAAGGGATTAAAAACTAAGGAGTATGACTGGCCCGGAATCAGGAATCTCGTTTTATTTTCTAATTGTTCCACACATCTAGTACTCAGATTGATAAGAGACTCATGGTAATGGCTCCCTCATAAAGCTCAGTGGAAACTGAAGATTTATTTAATGAATATCAGGGTCATGTCTCAAACATAAAGCTTGCATGTTTATCTCAGAGCTCTGGCTTCAAAAGCCCTGGCAGTGGAGCTGAGGAAAGAGCCAGTAAATTGCAAAAGGAAACTGAGTTACTTTAAGAAAGCACATTATCTCCCTTGTGTGGGTCAGGTTTTACCAGCTTGGGTCTCTTAGTCAACTGAAGGAAGGGGATTAATGGCAGGGACAGACCCCCATGCCTGAGTCTGATGAGAAGAGCCAGCCTCCCTCAGGACTGCATACAAACTCTCCTCAGGTTTTCTTCAGTTCTTCACCTAACTTAGACAAGAGTCTCTGGTACCAATTTGCATCTTCTTTCCTTGATTTTTTCTAACTCTTGCTCAATAACCTCAGAAAATCTCTTTCCATTCCATCTCCCCTTTCTTCATTTCATTTGGATGCACCCAAATAACCCTAACCATATCTATTAAGCACAAAATAATGACAGAGAATCCCTTGGATCAAGGGAAAAAAGAAGGTCACAAGTTTGAGCAAAGTTAAATTTAAATCAGTGCCATTAAGTTACATAGATCCTGAAAATCACCAAAATTCCTTCGGGGCTTTCCACCAAAGTCTCCTGTTAGTCTTCTTTTTCCCTATTTTAAATGTCAACGACTAGAATCCATTTATCCATTCAGTCATTCGTTTATTCAAGACATGTTTGTTGAGTGCTCCCTGTTTTCCAGGCATTAGTCATGGCGTGTAAACAGAGAAAACATACATAGTCTCTGTCCCTTTGTGAGCTTTCAGTTCAATCAACCAACAAATGTTAATTTTAAAAAATGTTAATTAAGCATCTATTACGTCCAAGGGACTGCAGTAGGTTAAGTGAAACCCATGTACCCTCACACAACTTACATCTATATTAACGTGATTATTCCACTGTCCTCCTCATCATAACTATTATTCTGAGACTTTTACATTTAAGATGTTGAAAATTAACTTTATTGCTTACTCCAGGAACTTTCTAAAAGACCTATCTGCTCTTCAACAGAAATCATCAACTGACAGATTGCACCCTAAGACTGTCGGAACTCATCTCAAAATCTTCATTTTTCTGTGTTCAGTCTGATTACACCATGACCCTTAACCTACCCTAATCAAGCCCTGCTCCTACTGCAGCATGGAAAGACCTGCCTTAAACTAGACTTCAAAGTCTCCATAAATGTGGCTTGCCCATCTCCACTGTCAGACTGTTGAGGGGTAAGTAATAAACTTTATCTTATTAACAGGTTTGTTCTAGTGCTATTTGTGGAGCCAATATTTGACAAAGTGCTGGGAATATAGTAATAATGTCATAGAGTTTACATTCTAGAGACAGACAATAAGCACATAAACCAGTAAATATGTAATTTTATATTTTACAATGTAGTTGGGGAGATAGTAGCCAAATTGTGATAATAAAGAAATAAAGAGTAACAGAATAGAGAATGAGGACAGTTAAGGTCCTAATTAAAAAAGATAATCTGAAAAACTCTCAAAAGTGACTTAAACTGGAGGTGGGGGTGGTCTGAGTGTTTCAAGTAAGGGGAATAACAGGTTTTTGAGACCCTGAAGCAGGAAAGTGAAAGGGGGATCAGCAGGTTCTAGAACAAAAAGGGAACCAGCAAAACAAGAGCATGGGGGAGGGGGAAGGGCAGGACTGAGCGGAGGAATAGGGTAGGAGGCTTCCACATACTTATTCAGAAGGACTGCTTTACCCTATTGTTCAGTTATCACTCTTGCGACAGAATTGTTTTCTAATACTTCTCACTGCAAATGTGCAGAAGTGAACAGTACAGGTTAAATGAACTTGCGAGGGCCTTACCGTTTACAAAAGTATTTCCATTGCAAAAAGTTTCCAGCTTTTACCAAATTCAATTATAAAACTCTTGTAGGTCCACCTTGATCTCACAAAAGCCCTATTATTAGCTGAAGTGGCTCCTGTGTTTCCAGAGTCGCCTTTGGGGAACACACTGATTGGGAGTTAGGGGTGAGGCGGGAGGAAACCGATATTCCTAGAGACACTTGTTCTCTCTAGCTGCAGGACGCTGAAGTTGAAATTTGCTACAAATTGATTTGCTGAAAGACGCGAAAACACGACCCATGCTAATAACTTCCTCAGGCTCTTTTCCAGTTGCTTGCTGGCGAGTATTGTCTTTTAGATGCAGCTGATAAAATCCGAATGTGTCTTGGCCCTCACCATGTTGACTGAGGTAATGATAAGACCAGCCTCATACTGCCTAGTTACCTTAGTCTGGAACCCTAGATTAATAATCCCGTTTGGGCAGGACTAGATCGCAGAAATTCCAGGGTCTCTCAGCCTGACCACCCCGCACACAGGCCTGAGTGGAATTTCTGCTTATTTCTGCTTTCGCTCCCTCTCTCAGGCCAACGCGCGGAGAGCTCTCGGCTGTACACCCCATCTCAGCCGGCTGCACACTCACACAAACATCGCTCCTGCTTTTACACGCACAGGTGGTGTGTGCCTCTTCGCAAGGAATCCCTCTGTGCTGAAATCCGGGAGGCGCTCATCCCGCTCCATGCACAAAGCTCCGGGCTCCGAGTTTAATCACACAGTGTCCGGCTTCCTGTCCTCATCACGCCCCCCCCCTCCCGC